CTAAGTAGGAAGTTTTGGAAATTCGTACTACTGTGTACTAAATTTGGTACAATTTGAATTTTTGTACTAAATTTGATACTATTTGGATTATAATTAAGATTTTATCTAATTCATGATTTCAATTTGATTGCATGATGTAGGTAGTAATGGAAATTTTTACTTATGTATTCTAAGTTGTACAAATTGGATTTAAGTGAACCGATAGAATCCTGAAATTTGGAATTAAGATTGGGGTAGGTGGGAAGTGTTGGAAATTCATACATATGATTGCTAAAGTAGGTAGTTATGGAAATTTATATTAATGTGTACTAACTGATACTCAATTTGGATTTGGGTGATTTTTTTCAAAATAAGTATAACACGAGTACAAATGGTAAAAAATTACAAATTTAGTATAGAGGTAGATTTCTGTTGCGGTCGGAATGGGTGTGTAGGGTTGAGATACTGAGGTATATTTGAGAACATAATATGGTACTTAATGGTTCTAAAATTTTAATAATGGTCGATATAGGGTGGTTTTAAATACATCCCACATTCGCTAACGAAGTAGCGTGTATATGCTAGTATATCACATATTTAAGTTCGCCCGGTGTATGAGCATGAAGTTCAGGGTCCATGAAAAATTTAAGGCTTACCTTAGTTGGCTATGCCTTACATTACGCCTAACTTCTCCTTCGTCCTATAAAATAACATTTATACTCAATTTTAATTTTAACTATAGAAACACCTGTAAAATTTTTTAGATTTGACAACTTTGTTGCCTTGTTGTTATGACCAGATTTCATTGCGTTCAATAAATGTTGAAAATATTTAAATATTTTTTCTGTGTGTTGATTATAATGGTGTGACTAAACTAAAACCAAATACCATTGTCTATTTACGAAATACAAGGTTCACTTAAAATAACTCTTAAAACTAAAAAAACAACAATAACAAAACAGAAAAAATACCATTAAATGTTTTAATTAAAAAATCATTAAAATGAATATTTTTGTTAATAAAACGGAATAGCTCATAAACTCGTTAACAAACTGACATACCAAAAGCCACATTGGGTTTCTTGTTGTTGTTGTTACTGTCGTTGTGATTTTACTTTGAAGTTTCCTGTTAGATTGAGATTTTACTTTGGCCATCTGTTTTGGTTTGTGTAGTTTTGAGGTTTAGTGAATGAATTCAGAAACAAGTTTGACTCTTAAGTCTTTTGTTTGTTGGTGGTTGGTAAGTAGGTAGCCTTACCAAAAAAAACATTAACATTGTTAGAATAATTCATTAAATCTCAATTGTTGTCTTTGCCGGCTCGTCACTTAATAGTTCTAACATTCTCGAATTAAACAATTTGTTTTTCGTCGTCGTCATTGTTGTTGTTGTCGCTCAATAATCTGAATTCACTAGAAACAGAAAAAAATACCTAGCCGCCTATCTCATTGAATTTCGCACAACAATAAACTCAATCAATTTATGTTTATTCAAATTAAACTAAATTGAGAAATTCTCGTGGTATTTAGCTTAACCGATTATGACAGTTATAGTCCAACTTTGATAATTCTTTAGCATAAATTATGGCCATAAATTAAAGTTTTAGTATTTTATGAAAAAAAAATTGTTTTAATTATTTTTTTGTTAAGTTTGATGGCTTAAAATCACAAAGCTTGGAATTTCACAAGAATTATGTGTGCGTGATGATATAACGGCATCAAACAGTTCTGAACTTAATTCCTTAGCATATAGTGTTGAAAAAAATAATATAATTGATGAGTAATGAAACAAAATGACATTATTTAAACAAAATTATATAAACCCCAGCAAGGAAAGTTCAAAATTCAGACAAATTCAGCAATGATATCCTTCACCATTTTGGGTACAAGACATTCTCATATGTACAATATCCGATAGGATATACATAACTTCTTTGGAGGACCACATAGAAATATGGTGCTATTCCAATTAAAGGAACCGCTATACACTTTCAGAGAAACGTCTCAAAATTTTAAAATGATTGGGTTATTAGTTTTTGAGTTATCGTGCCCGCCATTCGCAACGCCGTTTGGAGTAAATCGCGTTTGAGAAGCCCTCTTGCCGTCACTTGATGCTAACACAATAAATCGGCTATATCTTCAAAAATTGTTGAGATTTTCACTTGAAAATTTATAGGGACATTGTTGAATTAGTGTAGGTTCAAATTAAATCAAAACACGAAAAAGAATTTTGAATCCGAGAATGGGGGGTCCCCTTAAACCAAATGCGTATCATTTTGAAATGTAAGTAAAATTGCATGTCGATGGAGCTGACTTGGAGCCGTTGTTGTATCATTAGTAAATATGTAATCAAAATGTAATCTCAATCGGATAATCGTCTATTATATGGAAGCTACATCTAAATCTGAATTGATTTCAACGAAACTTAGCAAACATCATTCCAGGCTCAATCTTATACGCTATGCACAAGTTTGCGGAAATCGAAATAAATATTGGGACTGTGGTTAAGGATATAAATATATAGGAGTTATATTTACATCTGAATATATTGTACAAAATTCAATACACGCCTATTTAGCACCCAGTTGATACTTTGTGAAAAATTCGTCCCAACAGGAATAACATTAGTTATTTGGTAGGTCATTTGCATGAAATTGGACGGAAATATGTATGGGAGCTATACCTAATTCTGAACCGATTTCAACAAAAACTTAACACATGTAATTCCCGACTCGATTCAATATACTAAACATATATCGTGCAAATTGAACAGGATCTATTAACACAAAATCGGAATAAGGTGTATATAGGAGCTATATCTATGTCAACAAAAATTCACTGACATCAACCTGTAGCTACTTCAGTACGCTGTGCAAAAAATTGCGTACCAATCGGACAAAACTTGGCAGTTTGCTGGACCATTAGGTAAAGTCGTACGGAACTATATAAGGAAGCTATTTCTAAATCTGAACCGAAATGTTACCATATACTACCACAAAATTCCAAATTACAGTGAATTTGGTTGAAAACGCGATCAAGAACCCCAGAACACCGAAAATTGGGAGGTACCCTTATATGGGGCCACCCAGAAAATTGACAAAGATTTACAATTTTAGTGGAGAGATTCACTATCCAATAAAGACAGAAGATACTAAATTACAGCCAATTCGGTCAAGAAAATACGTCCAAAACCCCCCAGATACTGAAAATTGGGTAGCCGTTACAAAAGGGCTACCCGAAAAGTGGAACCAAATAAGAATCCCATGTATCAAATTTCAGCGAATTCAGTTGAAAAACGCGCTCAAGAACCTCAAAATTCCGAATATTGCGGGTATCCTTATAATGGGATGTATGCCTAAACGTGGACCGATATGGCCCATCTTCGAACTTGATTCTATGCAATATTTTGGCTATCTATTTCAATTTTAGAGGATAGAGTGATTAAAACATAGCCAGATCGTCTTAGAATTTTACCTTGATCAAGATACTTTATAGGGTCGGAAATGGTTATATCGATGAGTTACAAACGGAAAATCAAACTTCATATACTATGATGTAGGATATTGAATGTATTGCAGGTTTATGTTTTGTCCTAGCCCATAGAAACGTATAACACCATGTTCCATATGAAAAATCGGTAATTTGGCATTCTGGATTCTTCACCATTTTAAAAATTTAAAACTTTAAAGTTTTTTCCCCCGCCATGTGTTATTTTGGATTGTAAAAAACTTCTTCGCGGAAAATTTACTATATATAGACATAACCCCATATAAAAGTCTCATGCTATGGCAAATGTGCTAAAGGTTCTAGTGTAATTTTCCAAACGTTGTGACTTTATGTAGGTATTCGGGAAAACCCCAGAGGCTAAAATACGTAATATTCTCGTTCAGATTCCTATTTCTCGTTCAGATGTGCTGTAAGCACATACCTTTTAACGATAATCATCATATATATGGGGTTTGTAATATATCATAATAATTATAAAAACATTCAAATGTCCTTGAAATTACGACAACAATACTGCAATCAAAAATCCATGACAAGAGCTAGGCTAACCCTATCCACTGACATAAGTCATGGGGCTAAAATTTTGGTAGGATCAACAAAGTTCATGTTTATGTTCTTTGCCATCTATATTTCCAGTCGTTTGTTTGTTATATCTCTAGGCATTCGGTCCTTTACCATTTTTACGTTATCATCACAAAAAAAGGTTTGTGTCGTAAGTCTTTTGTTTTTATTACAAACAACAAATGTCATACTTACCTAAAAATCTTAAAAATCACTTTCTTTGATGGATTACAACATGAAATATAACAAACATTATCTATGATCTCGAAAAAAGACAAAAACCTCCGACTTTCTGTAATGACAAAAGGAAAACAAGGCCGACCATTTACAATTGCCGCATTTTCTATTTCTAACTAAATTGCTCCAGGTAATTCATCTCCCTTCATAGATGACAAATGTCAAAAAAGTACAAATAAAAATAAAACAAATCAAACGACGGACTGACTGGCTGGCTGACAAACTCAGTTTACGACCTTTTTCCTCATCAGGTTTTTCGTACTGTTGTAACTTATTCGAGACTGTGTGGCACGTGCCCGTGTTTCTTTACTTTCAACATGTCGCATTTTATGTTTGTAGCTTGTTGCATCAAAAGTGGGGGGATAGAGGTTCTCTTTCGTCATTTCTTTTATTGTTCAACAATACTACAACTGGCTGCTGGCTGCCTCGGTCATATGTGTGTATTTTGCTCCAATTTCTCAAGCTAGATTTTTTTGTTTTCTGTTTTTCTCGTCCGTCCATGCAAGCTCAATGGTTAGTTATGAGCATTTGTCTTAGTAGTTGGGGTGAGGGACTGAGTACCGATGAATGGACGACCTATGAAGAATGGTGGTGATAGCCAGCGACACAACAACAACATAAAAAGTCATGTCGTCTTGGAATCTTTTTGTTTTTGTCAATTTTTCTTTGTGTTGTTGTGATTGTTGCTGTTGCGGTGTTCAAGAAATGTTTACAGATAACATGCCTCAGGTTACGTGTATGATTTTTATTGACATGATCGAAACAGCAGCAGCAGCCAACAACAGCGACAACATCGATAAACGGGCAACGGGTAATATACACAAACCATGACAACCGCATTTTCTAGTGGCAATCTGGCTTTTGAAAGATCAAAACTCAGATGTGGCCCGTTGTCCATATTGTTGTTGTTGCTGTTGTGGTCCATTTGGTGGGTTTTAGAAATGCATTTCTATGACATGTTGTAAAGCCATGTTTCATAGCCTTTCTTTTTGCTGATGTTGTTGTTTTTGTTTCATAGAAAATTTTTCTTTAAAACTTTTTTTTTCAATGGAAAATAAAACAACAACTCGTGTCATTATTGCCCCCTACTCCATGGTGAGCCTTTAGTTAACAGTTAGTTAGCTGGCAAAGCTGGCTGGATGGCTGACTGACTGACTGCTGGCCGGCTGGCTGGATGGTTGACTATTCGTTACCGTTTTCAAACATATGTCAATTGGTAGCGATTAAATTAAAATTGTTTTTATTGTTGTTATTTTCCTCTTCTTGCCTTAAGATGACATCTAACATGACAGGTACATTTGTTGTATTAGGGTGGAAAGGGTACAAATTGGAGCAAAAATGTCAACAATATAATTTGTATTAAAAAAACAAAAATCTTGATAATGGAAATTTCTACATTTCTTATTTAGAACATTTGAAAAAAGACAAATGTCAAACTGATAGATTTTATCCGTCAAACTCTTTTATCAAATTTTAATAAATATTTTCTTATCTATGTCTATTTCCAGTTTTGGACCTCAGACAAGGAACACACATCAACCATATTCGAAGATTTGGATCGTTATTGTTGGCAACAGCAACAAACAAATGCCGGTACGGCTGGCACTACCCTGGTTGCCATACCCAATGCCAGTACACCCAATAATACCAACAACAGCAGCAGTAACAACGCCAACAGCACCAACAACTCCTCTAACCAAATGCATCACACATCCTCGTCACCTGCCACAACACTAAATCCCCTCCACTCCAGTCTTGTCAATCCTTCGTCACCACACAACCATCAATCACCCATGACTCCAGTTAGTACGACCACAACATCAGCAGCTGCAGCATCGTCCTTGCCCACAACACCAGTGTCCCAAACACAGCTAAACAGCGACGGTACCATCTCGAACATTATCAGTACGGATGGTCAAATTTATACGTTAACAGTATTAAATGGCAATGAGCCATGGTTAAAACGTGAAACCGATACCAGCCATTTACAAAATAGTTTGGATTTTGATAGTCTCTTGGGGAGTTTTCCAGGCTATATAAAATCGGAATATCCCTACGATGATAGTGGTTTCAGTACAGATGGTTGTAAGGATTTAAATGGTGATGGGGGGAATATGGCGGTGGGAACGAATCAACGTCTGCCATCCCTAATCAATACCATCGCATCGGTGACAAGTACGGCTGGTGTGGTGGATGGTTCTTCTGCAGTGGCACCCTTAAATGTTGGCCAACAACTGGATCAGTTCCATAACAATAATAATGATTGGCATATGACCGATCATAATAATGAACAGGTAAGTAATTGTAATTATGTGTAAGTTAGAATTAAAAAAAATTACTGTATTCATTGTTTAGTATAATTTTTTGAAAATTCCTCTTCCTTTCTAAATTGTTTTCTTATTGTAGTCTTTCTTCTATATTTATGTTTTCCCTTATATAGAACTCTGCCGAATCTCTGCTACGTAGTGCCCTCCAAGGTAAAGGTTATACCAAAGGTATGCATATGCACAATGGCATTGCATTAATGCCCTCATCGCCATCGGTAAAAGATGAAGATATGCGGAGAATATTATTTCCAGTTGATACGGTAAGTTGTGTTCTATAAACATAGAATAACAAAGACAAATATTGAATGTGTGGTGCATACGTTTAGGCTTATAAGAACACTTTAAACAGGGGACTTTTAAAAAAAATGTGGTCGTTCAACTATACACAAATAGAGATTATTTAGTGTTGGAAATTGGAATTTCCCAACTTTTTTCGGGATGAACATAATTTACGATTTTTCATCAGGGTTGTTGTACTATTTTTATTTACTTGTGACTATGTGGCTTTGATTATAACATGCCTTCACCACACTGTGGTACAGGGTATTATGTCTTTGTGCATATGTTTGTAACAGGCAAAAGGAAACGAGATAGACACATGGTTGCTTTTGAGAATATGCATAGAATCACTTTCTGGGTCGATTTATGCATGTCCGTCCGTTCGACCGTCCGTCTGTAGATGCTAAAATGGTAAACAAAGTACAGGTCGCGCTTAGGATCCGATTTAGATGAAATTTGGCACAATTTACTTATTTGTCCCCAGGACGAACCCTATTGAAATTGGAAAACATCGGTTCAGATTTAGATATAGCTCCCATATATATTTTCGTCCGATTTAAGGTAAATGGGGCACCAAAGTCCCTCTATATCTTTCGATTTGCATGAAATTTGGCACAGAGTACTGAATTAAGCCCAGAATGATTTGTGCCAAGTTTCGAGAAAATCGGTTCAGATTTAGATATAGCTCCCATATATAGTTTCGTCCGATTTAAGAAAAATGGTGGGCCAAATTCCCTATATATCATTCGATTTGCACAACATTTGACATAGAGGACTGAATTAGGTCCAGAATGATGTGTGATAAGTTTCGAGAAAAACGGTTCAGATTTAGATATAGCTCCCATATATAGTAACGTCCGATTTACCGTAAATGGTGCGCAAAAGTCCCTATATATCATTCGATTTACACGAAATTTGGCATAGGGTACTGAAATGGGTCCAGAATGATGTGTGCTAAGTTTCCTGAAAATCGGTCCGGATTTAGATGTAGCTCCCAAATATATTTTCGTCCGATTTTAGGTAAATGGTGCGCCAAAGTCCCTATATATCTTTCGATTTGCACGAAATTTGGCATAGAGGACTGAATTAGGTCCAGAATGATGTGTGCTAAATTTCGGTCGGTGAAAATCGGTCCAGATTTAGATATAGCTCCCATATATTTTTTGTCCGATTTAGATTGATGTTAGTCGGTTTACATGTAGATAAAGATCGCATTTTTAAGTTCGTTCAATTTCTTGTCAATTTTCCTTCGACATGCTTATTTGTTGTAGCTCTTTGCCTCAAATGGGATGGAGAGAGGGTTATCTTTCGTCATTTCTTTTATTGTTCAACACAAATTCTGCTGGCTGCCTCATATGTGTGTATTTTGCTTTAACCTTATAACTAGAGTTTTTCTTTGGGTCATCTATGCAAACTCAATGAGTAGTTACGAGCATTTGTCTTAGATGGAGTCGGGCATGTGTGCCTAACTATGAAGAATGGTGGTGATTGCCCGTTGAAGCTTTCAAACACCAATATTATGGAAAAGTCGGAGAGGCCGATAATTGGTTTCAACTTCTTGTGTACTGGCAATTACATTGGACGCAATTGATTATTTCGTCATTTCGAGTTTGAAGTCTAATACGGTTCCATATTAACCTATACGTTCTTCAACAAACAGGGTTCGCAACTTCCTCACCTCAGCGGCAATCTTTGTCGAGTTAAGGGAAATTTCAACGGTGCTAGAAATAGTACATGTCTAGCTCTCGTATGAACAAGGATTATTGACTGCGCTCAAAAATTAACCAAAGGGCAGACCTTTGAACAAATATTTTTGGAAAATCGCCTAGTTTTGACCACAAACCAATTTAAAAAATAAGATCGTCACCGATTGGATTTATCCTAGCCCCTTAACCAATCGTCGTAGACCAATCATATTGATAGTCGTTACTTAACGCATAATTTTTTGACCCTCTAGAGTTGGCGGTTTATTTTTTTTCGAAATTTTCCCAGACTCCAAGAACAAAAAATCCAGTCAAATCAGTCGGAAAATGTTGCTAAAACCTTTACAATGCCGATAATGTGGTGGAACCTTTATGTGGTGTTCTCAATCTCCAATAACGCAGAATACCAATTTTCAGCTTACAAGACCGAACATTCCATGGATAGTAGCAATGTTTGTGCAAAAATTCACTGCTCTATCTTAAATATTCCGATCTCTGTTGTGATTTTAACCGGCAGACAGGCCGATGGGCATGATTAAATCAGCATAGAATTTAATTTTGATAAAGGAAAGCGATCTCCGATTAAATTTTAGTGGTGTTGCAAGGGGAATACAAAATTTCTATAAATATATGACTTACTAAGGGTATTTTATATGAATACAAACTTCTGTAGGACTTCTACACCTCGACTGTCGTCCATATTTGTAACATAGATATATTTGCATATTATGTAGTTTGAAGTTCCAAAAATAATATTGACAATGTTAGATATACTTCGGCAAGGGTTTTTTTTTATCACGTATTTAACAAATCAATCAGCTTTTTTCAAGTTTCTTTAATCAACATATTAATTTGATTCCAAGACCCATAAAGACCACACAATATCATCAAATCTAATCAAGTAAAATAATTTTATATTTAATAATCTTTTGTTTACTAAAATTAGAAAATATTATTGCAATATCCAATTTCCATTTCTTTTTTCTTTTCATTTAGGACGGTTTAAATTTCTCCGATACCTCACTGAGTGCGGCACAAATTTTCGATGATACTCAAAATGCCAACGGTCACAATCCACATATGATGGTGCCACATTCGCCGGTCACCAATGGTCCACTCACGCCAGTCACAAATGCTAATGGCAATAACAACGTCAGCAACAACAACAACAACAGTGCCAACAGTAATAACAATAATAATAGCGGCAACAGCAATAACAATAATCAAACGAGCAATATGATGGTCGATGATATGTTCCTAACGTTGGAGAATGCATTCAGCGATGATTTTGAGAAAATCAAACAGTTCTGCACCACAGCCACGGCCAATGATTATCATGCAAATGAGGTGATGATGCAACTTTCGCCCAGTGTCACAGGTGGTGGTGGCGCTGGTGGTGTGGTCGCATCAACAGGTCCGATGGCAGTGACAACGCAGCAGCAATTACAGACACTGCATGCTGGTGCGACATCAGCCGCAGTGGCAGCAACAACAACACCAAATAATGGGCTAACAGCACAAATGTCGTTGCAGCAGCAGCAGCCGCAACAACAGCCACCACCTCAGCCATTGAAGCCGGAAGTGACAACTTCAAGTCAACGCATGGTGTCCACGGCGAAAGTTACCAAGAAATATAAACGAACATTATCGACACACAGTAATCACAGTAACAACAACAATAATCCTAATGTCATTAATCACAATAACAATAATATCATTAACAATGCCAACAACAACAGTAACAGTAATTTAACCACTTCCAATAAAGGTTCCAGTAATTTAGCATTCACAAATGGCAATCGTAATGGACCGGCCTCAAATGGCAGCAGTACAACCAGTAGTAATAGTCCCACTCACTGTAATGGAGGTGTGGGTGGGGGCGTTAATGCATCCTCGACGGGAAGTAATGTTGGCACCTCAACATCCTCTTCATCAAGTGGCAGTAGTGGTGGTGGTGGCGGTCAACGTAAGGAACGTTCTCTGCATTATTGTTCGATATGTTCGAAGGGTTTCAAAGACAAATATTCCGTAAATGTTCACATACGAACACACACCGGCGAAAAGCCCTTTGCCTGTACACTGTGTGGTAAAAGTTTTCGCCAAAAAGCCCATTTGGCAAAACATTATCAGACACACATGGCCCAAAAGAATAATGGCAGTTTGGTTAAGGGTAATTCAAATAAACATCATCGCGCCTCGGCCGCAGCGGCGGCGGCAGCAGCTGCCGCTCAACAACAACAGCAGCATCAGCAACAACAACAGAATTTAAATTCTTCGAATGTTATGCAAAATCATGTACGTCCCCTGAGTTCTGCCTCTTCAGCTCCTACAACACCCACCCTGACCCATCATGGTATGGGTTTGGTCAATGGCCTCCTAAGCACTTCAACGGCATTGGCTTTGGGTGTGGCACCGCCTTCTCTGCCAACCACACCCACGACACCCAATACAATACTACCGCCAGCCAATGGTCTACTGGCCAACAGGTAGAAACTGCCTCCACAAACGTCCCCAAATAAGCCTTATTAGAGCTAATAAATTTTTATTTGTAATTTTTGTTTGTTTTTAAATATTCTTTGTTTTAATTTAAAGCCTAATCTTCATTTGTTCCTAATTCTTATTACGCTCCTCTATATTTTTTATGAAACGAAAACTGCTATTTTTTATAAATATTTTTTTAATTTTGCTATTTACAATTTAATTATTTCGTGTTTAGTGTAAACAAAAAACTCAAATCGCAACCACAAAAAGTATCCTCAAAGGATAATTTTGTAACTACTACCTGTACTTGGAAATACTCAACAACAACAAAAAACGAAACAAAAATAAAAACAAAATACTGTCCATATTAAAGTAGTTTCTTAACGAATTTATTTAACTTTTACTCTTTGTTTACTTTTAAGTGTCTATTTATTTATTATTATCATTATTATTTTTTATTCGTTTTTCTTTTGCATATATTTCCTGAGTTTATTGTTAACAGTTTTAGTTTGTTTTTTAGAAAATTATCATTTCAAACCTATAAAAAAAACTATCAACCTGTTTCTGTCAATATATTACAGTTGCGATCATAAAGATGTGACAAACTTTGACATGTAACTGTTTTATTTTATGAAAACAATAATTTGAGAGAATTGAAGTATTTTCATAGTTCTTCAGCCGAATCCCTCAAGGTCTCGGAATGCCACATAACAGCAAATTCGTGATATTGTCACTTTGGTTGGAAACTGTGATTGGGCTATCCACACAAATATAAAAGGGCTGCACCTTTATATGGGAGTAATACCCAAAAAAAACTACCAATAAATATACTTCTGGCAGAAAAGAATGTCAACTCGTTTAAAAAACACAACACCAAGGTAGATTATTGGTCTGCTGCCATCTATCGTTGTATAGAAACCAAGCCTCCTTGAAATTTGTGTCGTGGTTGGAGTCTTTGCTCATATAGTATTGACATTTTCCTCTGGGTGGCGCCATCTTCTGACATTCCTAGTTTATGTTATTCTCATATGTTCGGGTGTATTTCAGTAAGTCTCTTTTTATTATATCCTTCACCACACTGTCGAACAGGGTATTATATATTTGTGCATATGTTTGTAACAGGCAAAAGGAAACGAGATACACACACGGTTCCTTTTGAGAAAATGCATAGAATCACTTTCTGAGTCGAGTTAAGCGTGTCCGTCCATGTTTAATTTTAAACAAGGCACAGGTCGCATTTATGATCCGAATTGGATGAAATTTGGCGCAGTCCATTCGTTTGACCCGAGGACGAACCCTATTGAAATTGGGAAAAAATCGGTTCAGATTTAGATATAGCCGCCATATATATTTTTGTCCGATTTCATGTAAATGGTGTACCAAAGTCCCTATATATCCTTCGACTTGGACGAAATTTGGCATAGCATACTAAATTAAGTCTCGAAAGACGTGGGCTAAGTTTCGAGAAAATCGGTTCAGAATTAGATATATCTCCCATATATATTTTCCTCCGAAATTTGGCATGGCGTACTGAACTTAGCCTGGAATGATAAGTGTTGAGTTTTGAGAAAATCGATTCAGATATAGATATAGCTCCCATATATATTTGCGTCCGATTTAATGTAAATGATGCACCAAAGTCCCTATATTTCTTTCGATTTGTACGAAATTTGGAGCAGCGTACTAAATTTGGTCTAGAATGATGTGTGGTAAATTTAAATATATTTTATGTAAATTTAGATATAGCTCCCGCATCCTCCAATTTTAAATGGTGCAACAAAGTCCTAATGTTTGTCCGATTGACACGAAAGTTTTCACAACGTATTAAATTGAGACTAGGATGAAGTTGTTGCGTTTTGTTGAAAGTGGTGCAAATGCAGATATAGCTTTCATATATATTTCGAAGGTGTGTTTTGTTGGGATTAAATTGTGAATAGCGAGTATCAAGTTTGGATTGATGTTAGTATGTTCACTTATAGATAAAGATATTTAACTTCGTTCAATTTCATGTTAGGATACATGTGTAGAATATACCCAAAGTGGTGAAGGGTATCATATAGTCGGCCCCGTCCGTGAAATTATCTAACTAAATATATATTTACCTAACCCATCTATATCATCCTTGGCCTTTACATTTAAGCTGCAGAATTGTGGAGGTATATATGCGATAATTATAATATTTGGTAAGGTCCATATAAACATGTAATTCAGTAAAAAAGGGATATCACTTCCACACATATATTCCTGGAAGCTATTCCACGCCAAAATCACAATTTGTATTTGTCACCGATGATATTTGGTATGAGATATTCTTTGTTATTTTAATTTGTAGAGAGACACTTCGATTTTATAATCGTAGTGGGGTCAGTGTGATAAATGTGTGCATTCGGTTAATATGGTGTCATAAAAAATTTTAGTTCCGACAATTGTCGTCCGGTAATAACGATAATGCTTTATGGTTTGTGACTCTGCTATCGATCACATCCATATATCTACAATTCGTGTCTACGCTACATTCACGAAGCGTCCTCTGACGGGAATTGCCTGAACTTAATTATAGTATAGCAACATTTTAATCGAATGCCCATATTTATCCTACTACTATTGCATAGGAGGATCCCATATATTTCTACTTTTCTTAAATAAATTGTCCATGTCATTATATTTCCTATTTCTTATTAATACTCCATATCTCAATTCTCTTAAATTATTAAAAAAAATAATTGTATAACTTACTCAATCCTCAAACTAAAAAAACACTCTCCAAGTCTAATATTTTAAGAAAATAAAATTAAAAGAATTATTTAATCCACTATAATAAAATATGTGCCAAATAAAAAAAATTGCAAAAAAATCGAAAAACTATAACAAAAAACAAAAAATATTAAAGTGATAACAAAGCCTTGAATTACAAAATTGTTGTAAAACTAAAACCAATCATATAAAAGTAAAGAAACAAACTCACGCAAGTATTGTAATATTGTAAAAACAAAAATTTAAAACATTTGTAATTATAAAGAAATAATTTAAAAAGAATTATATGTATTTAAATGTAAAAAAATGCTTTTATAACTAATTTTGTAAATTAATTGAAAAATTTTAGAAATAACTTGCCATTATTTTTTTGTTTGTTAAATAGTAAAATCATATCACAAAATGTGTTCGTGTTCAGCGAAACACTGTTAGTTGAAAATCTCCTTCTCTGTGGTTAACATTCTTTGACTAATTGTTAGACCATAGCTCCGTAGCTCATCTGCCACAATCTTGAATTTATGCGGCCAGTTTCATGGGAAAACAATGCCAAGTATTTTTTGTTTATTTTTCTTTTTTTTTTTTTGTAATTTAACTGCCAGTTATCGTTCGTCGTTCATTGTATCTAGGTATGTTTATACGTAGAGACTATTTCGATAAAAAGAAAGAAAAAAACAAATCTTAATAAAGCGAACCATGTGTGATCTTCTTTAATTTAATTTTTTTAATTCATTTCTTTTAACTGATGTGCACAAATATTTCTCTCATTTTACCCACGAATGCCTAGTAATTAGACCATTGACATTTTTTCTACGTTGTAATCATTTTTTAAAGAAATTATTTAAATTTAATGTAATTTGTATAAGCATTTGTAAGTTTTTCAAAGTAATATAACTCACACACACACACACATTACAATTATTTGTAAATTAGAGCAAACGTAATTTAAATTAATGCTTAGTTATTAATATTAATCTCAATTTTTTTTACTATAGTGAAATATATTAAATGAAATTCATAAATTTGTTAAAACTCGAATTGAAAATAAAGAGAATATTTTATAAATATATATAAAAAATTTGCTGAATATAGTAGTTTGTTTTTATAAGGGAACATGCAAACCAGGTTCCAAGGTTTTCATAGGTGTGGTTCGAACATGCAGATATGTTGTACAATGCACCATAAAATTATTATTCTAAATGTTTCAAATCGTTCATGCTATCAAACATTGCTGCCAGGAAAAAATAAATTCCAATCTACAACATGAGTATGGAAATTTAAACTAAAACCTTGCACATATCGAAAAATAAGTGAGACCTTTGCATGCGACAATGTCGAAAAATGGACCTATTTTGAAAATGTTTTGTGAAGGCGTTGAGGTTCCGAAACGACAAATTACACAAAAGTTCTAAATGCAATGTTGGAAAATTCGCCTAGTAGTGTCAAAATACTTGTAAAGAAGCCCGACTTTTATATGGAGATCGATCTCGATCTGGGACTACCCCGAAGCATTGGCAGTATTGATAATTTTTGGTAGGGATATTTTCTCCCCAATAAGAATCCACAATTACAACAATTACAAATACCGAATAATGGAGGATACCGGAATAAGAAAATAGAAACAAGAAATTAAATATTCACTTCAGGTTATAGAGGATGTATATCGAATCTACCATATATTGGATTACAGTTTCTATACCCTTCACCACACTGTGGTACAGGGTATTATGTCTTTGTGCATATGTTTGTAACAGACAAAAGGAAACGAGATAGACACATGGTTAATTTTGAGAATATGCATAGAATCACTTTCTGAGTCGGTTTATGCATGTCCGTCCGTCCGTCCTTCTGTAGATGTTAAATTGTAAACAAAGTACAGGTCGCATTTATGATCCGATTTGGATGAAATTTGGCAGAAGTCTCTTATTTGGCCCAAGGACGAACCCTATTGAAATTGGGAAAAATCGGTTCAGATTTATATATATAGCTCCCATATATATTTTCGCCCGATTTAAGGTAAAAGGAGCAAAAAAGTCTCTCTATATCTTTCGATTTGCACGAAATTCGGCACAGAGTACTGAATTATGTCAAGAATTATGTGTGCCAAGTTTCGGTTCAGATATAGCTCCCATATATAGTTTCGTCCGATTTAAGGTAAATGGTGCACCAAAGTCCCTATATTTCAATCGAATTGCATGAAAATTGGCATAGAGTACTGAATTAGGTGCAGAATGATGTGTGCCAAGTTTAGTGAAAATCG